CTGCCTCGGGCCAAGATGCTCCAGCCTTAGCATCCCTTGGGGAGAGGGAAGGGGAAAAGGCTGCTTCTCTGCCTGTGGTTCTGGGAAACATGAGGGCTCAGAGAGATCAAGAAGGGTCTCGGCACCGGGAGGTGGGGAGGGGAGGGGGGCACTTGGGGAGAGTCCAGGAGAGTGTGGGCAAGACCGCAGACCTCAGCTCCTGAGTCAGTTGAGTGGCCAGGGAAGGAATGGACAGAGGAAGGGAGGAGGCTCACCATGAATAGGGAGAACCTGATTGGTGGGAAGAGAAGGTTGGGGTCCAGGCCACCCCAGAAAGTCTTGGCATCTACAGAAGGCAGTTGGCCAAGATGTGAAGGGGTGTTGGAAGTTCTCTCCTCTCTGTTCTTCAGTCTTCACTGACCTTTTTGTCCACATCCCTTCTTTGCTCCTGCCGGGGCACCCTCCAGGAGATGGACTTTCTGGATATCACCAGCATCAGGGATACCCGCTTTGGGAAGTTTGCCAAGATACCCAAGGTAGGTGGGCCCAGTGGCAGCCCAGGCTCAGCATGGCCACAAGCTCCGTGGGGTGAGGGCCGGGGTCCTTGTGGGGGTGGGAAGCCTGGTCTCTGGAACGAGGGAAGAGTCCACAGGCTGGGCAGCAGGGCCTCCTCCCTGAGTTGAGGAAGCTCCTGAGCTTACCAGAGCTTTGGTACCAGGGGACCCTGGACAGAGATGTCGTGTGGCCAGGTCCTGCCCCCCAGAGCACCCCAGACTGTCTGGGAGTATTGCTTATGCACACCGCCCTCCCCATCTCGTTTGCCTATATTTGTCTAATGCCGGTAGGAACATTGGAGGAAGGGTTTGGTGGGAAAGAGGATTCCATGAGACTGGGAGCTAAGAATCCATCTTCAAATGAAAAATGGCAAACAAAATACTCAGCACACCCAGCCACACTGCTGGGTTCATCTCTTTCGGTGGGCTCTCCCACCCCCGCCCCCCCTCCAGCCCCTGGGGTCAGGGAGGCCAAGATGCTGAGGCCTGTGCCTCCTCCCAGGGGGATGGGATTCCACCCTAGGCGGCCCCAGTTCTAGTGCAGTGGGGAGGGACCGGGAGAGGCACAGTGGGCTGGGGCTGGGGGCACACTTCTGATCCTAACCGTGTCACGGATTGCTGTAGAGCCAGAAGCTCCGGGATGTCTTCAACATGGACTTCCCCGACAACAACTTCCTGCTCAAGACACTCACTGTGGTGTCTGGCCCTGACATGGTGGACCTCACCTTCCACAACTTCGTCTCCTACAAGGAGAATGTGGGCAAGGTGCGCCAGGGAGGGGTGGGGGAGGGGGTAATAGAAGGGGGAGGCTCAGGCCTGGGCCTGGGCACCTGGGGTAGCCTGTGCTTCCTGCAGGATAGGTCTGGGCTGCAGGGGGTGGGGGCACCCGTGTGTGGCCAGGGTCTGATGGCTGTGCTCTTGGGGTCCTGCAGAACTGGGCCGAAGATGTACTGGCCCTGGTCAAGCACCCCCTGACAGCCAATGCCTCCCGCAGCACCTTCTTGGACAAAATGTAAGTGCCTGCCTGCCCGGCCTTGGTGTGCGGGGCTACGTGCCCCAGCCCCTGGGGCCTTGATGAGCTGCTTTCTGCCCCACTAGCCTGGTAAAGCTCAAGATGCAGCTCAACCCCGAAGGAAAGATTCCTGTGAAAAAGTGAGTTTCCTCGACTCTCTCCCCACACTTCCACTCAGCTCCTCAAAGCCTTCCCTCTCCAGGTCTGACCCCTCTCTTTGCCTGGTGCCTTTCTCTGCTCCTTTAGTTTTTTCCAGATGTTTCCTGCTGACCGCAAGCGGGTGGAAGCTGCCCTCAGCGCCTGCCACCTCCCAAAAGGCAAGGTGAGTGGTTCTCCCGGCCCAGCCGAAGCCCTCACCTGAGCTGGCTCTGACAAGAGGCCAACTTGGCCAAGCCTGGTTAGGGTGGGGCGGGGGTGGGAACGATAGCGCAGCCTAGCCAACAGCCCGAAAAGCCAGTTAACCCTAGAGCACTGGCTTCTGATACTAGGCACAGAGACAGATCCAAGGGAGTGTGGAGGAGATGCCTGGGTCCAGAGCAGCTTGGTCTATACTGCCTACTCCTGGGGGGTTGTGGGGGGCAGTGGTTGGTGGACTGCCTCTAAGGCAAGCAGCCGGGATGGGTACATTCCCATTCTAGCCTTGGAATGAACGTTGAGAGTGAATGTTCTCGCCTAGAGGAGCGAGATAAGGTCAGCAGGGATGGAGGCAACCTGCAGGGGTCTGAAATGTGGGGAAGGGGTTAGTTCTGCAGAGTGTGGGGGAGGGGAACAGACCAAGAGTCGAAGCTGCCAGGACACAGCCTTTAGCTCAACACAGGGAAACATTATTTTTTTCCCTTCTGATTAAGTAATTTTTAATTACAAGTTGTAGGCAGGGTCACCCCATGAGGGGCCTTATATGGATTACAAAAAGGAGCCCTCTGGGCAGATACAGCCCTGAGCCCAGGGTTTGTGTCTGGCTAGGGGAGTGGATTTCAGACTCCTGTGCCCCCTTGGCCAGAGCCTTTGTATAGGGCACCACCTGCACCCCATGGGGTTTTGTCTCCTGATAAGAATTTGCAATGCGATAAGTAAATAAAACTAAGACCTCGTCAGTCACCTGTCCACATGGGGCCCGGGAAGACTATTCCCCCTCAAGTCACAGCTCAACGGAGCTGGTGCCCCTTGATGCCATCAGTCACAGGAATGAAAGCATGGGGTTGGAGAGAGCGTGGGAACGGGCTCCTGCGGAGGGCCCCCAACCAGGACCACTGCTACACATCTACCCTCCTTCTCTCCTGCCTCCTGAGCTCCCACCTTGGCTGTCCTCCTTATTTGTCAGCTCTCCTTGTGTCCCAGTAGGAGTCACTGACCCCTCTTTGCTTGGAGCTGATGGGTCCAAGTTCCAGTCTTAGGGAGATATGGTCTGGCTCTCTTGTTCAGACCCTCTGCTCCAGCTCCAATCTAAGCCTGATGTTGGCCTTCCAGTAGGATCCTGGAAGACATTTAATGGGTTTTTCTGGGATGAAATGCAAAGGCACAGGATCCCCGGAGACCATTAATCTCCTTGCAGTTTCTATTTCTGTAACATTGCCCAACCTGGACATCATACACTATGTGACCTTTGATGTCAGGCTTCAGTCCGTTAGCATAAGAGTTTCAGGGTTCTTCCATGTTGTAGCCTGGAGCGGCACGTCATGCCTTTTCACCACTGAGTGATATCCCAGTGTTTGGAGGTTCCACCTTTGCTTCTGTGTTCATCAGCTGATGACCTTTGGGTTGTGGATGCTCTTTGGCCATTTTGAATAATGCCGCTACGAACCTTCGTGTGCTTGACTTGGTCAGGACATGTGTTTTCACTCTCTATACCTAGAGGTAGAATAGTTGGGTCACGTGGCAACTTTATATTTAACATTTTGAGGAACTGCCATACCGTTTTCCAAAGTGACTGACCACTGTACAATCATACCGGCAACGTACGAAGGTCCTGTTTCCTCAACGGCACTTGTTACTGTCTTTTTAGAATTGGTCTCGTCCTGTGGTATCTCCTTGTGGTTTTGGTTTGCATTTCCCAAATGACTAATGAGATGGAGCATCTTTTCATGTGTTTATCGGTCATTTGCATATCTTCTATGAAGAAATGTCTATTCAAATCTACTGCCTTTCCAATGGGTTATTTGTCTCTTTATTGTTGAGTTGTCCCTTCCTGGATATTTGATTTGCAAATATTTTCCCCTGTTCCGTGGACTGTCTTTTCACTTTCTTGATGCTATCCTTCGAAGCATAAAAGTTTTTCATTTAGATGAAGTCCAGTTTGTCTTTTTTTGTTGTTGTTCCTGGTGCTTCTTGGCATCTCTAGCTATTATTGTTGAATTGTCCATTTCTCCCTTCAGTTCTGTCCGTTTTGGCTCGTGCATCTGGGGGCTCTGCTGTTAGGTGCATCGTTTCTATTCCAGTTGCCTCTTTTAGAAAATTTGTCCTCTGCTTTAAAAAAAGAAGGAAGAAGACAGCCCACCGCTCTGGCAGCAGACATTCTTACTTCTAACCTCTTCTTCTTCCCCCTGTGGTCATTCCTAGTTCCAATCCTGCCCCAGCCAAGGGACTAGCCAGTGTTCAAGTTCAGGGGCAAGGCAGACCAGCTAAGCATGCTCTCTACTCAGCAACCAGCCCCTTGAAAAGTGGGTGCTCAGGAGCCTGATTGATGCTGCTCTGCCCACCCTGAGCCCGCCCTCTGACAGGCTCCCTTACACAGGCCTGGGCCTCATTTGTGGTGTTTAGCGTGGAGAAGGTGGGTACAGGAATGATCGGGTGACTATTCCCCCAGAACGATGCCATCAATCCTGAGGACTTCCCAGAATCCGTCTACAAGAGTTTCCTCATGAGCCTCTGTCCTCGGCCAGAAATAGATGAGATCTTCACTTCCTAGTGAGCTTCCTCGGCTGGGCTGGGCATGGGGAAGGACTGCTGGCTAAAATCCCGCTTGCCATGCTGGGAATTAGGTGGCTTCTCTGGAGAAGGCGGTTGTCCGTGCTCCCCAGCCCGGGGGCCACAGACCTGAACCCTCTCTGGCCTGCAGCCACGCCAAGGCCAAACCCTACATGACCAAGGAGCACCTGACTAAGTTCATCAATCAGAAGCAGAGGGACCCCCGTCTGAACTCTTTGCTGTTTCCACCGGCACGGCCTGACCAGGTGCGGGGCCTCATCGACAAGTATGAGCCCAGTGGCATCAACGTGCAGAGGGGTGAGGACTCAGGGAGCCCCTCCCCTCTGTGGCCTGACCCGCTCTGCCCAGGGTCTGCAGGCCTGACAGCTCTGCCCTGCTCCCCGCCCCAGGCCAGCTCTCCCCGGAGGGCATGGTGTGGTTTCTCTGCGGGCCCGAGAACAGCGTGCTGGCCCAGGACAAGCTGCTGCTCCACCAGGACATGACGCAGCCACTCAGCCATTACTTCATCAACTCCTCACACAACACCTACCTGACAGGTGACCCGGGGTGACCTCATCGTGACGTCTCCTCTTCCGGGGGTGGGGGCTGGCTCCTGTTCCCCAAATCCATCCCTCTGTGGGGCTGGCCCTCGGGCTGCAAAAGGACGGACTGTGTGGGAGCGGGCTGGGGCGAGCGGGACCGGCCTTGAGCGAGCCCCTGCCTCCCCCCTCCCTGCTCTGGCTCAGCCGGCCAGTTCTCTGGCCTTTCGTCGGCCGAGATGTACCGCCAGGTCCTGCTGGCTGGCTGCCGCTGTGTGGAGCTGGACTGCTGGAAGGGCAAGCCCCCTGACGAGGAGCCCATTATCACCCATGGCTTCACCATGACCACAGACATCTACTTCAAGGTGAGACTCCTGAGTGGAAGCTGGTGGCAGTGGCATTAGGAAGGGCCCAGGGGGCCGGGATGGGGGAGCGGGTGAAACAGAGGGGAGGGATGGCTGCGAGGCCTCAGACCAGTGAGGGGACCAGAGGGGACCCTAGGAGACGGGGACCACAGTGGCTCTCCAGTTCTGTGTGTATTGAAACTGGGAAGTGGGGAAGGGTGCTGCTGGGGGGCTGGACCACTGACCTCCTCTTCACCTGGCCCCCTTCTCCTCCAGGAAGCAATTGAAGCCATTGCAGAAAGTGCCTTTAAGACCTCCCCCTATCCTGTCATCCTGTCATTTGAAAACCATGTGGACTCGTGCGTATCAGACCTTTTCAGCCTCCTTCTCTCCCCGTCCCCATCTCTTGCGGAGAGCTGCCCTCCCCCAACCCCTCCCCCCACCTCTAGTCATGCCCTCCAGCTCTCTTCCGGGCCTCCACACAAGCTCCTTGGGACCCCAGGCTCTCCTGCCTATGTCCCCGCCTCCCTGACCCCCTGTGCCCCTGATGACCTGGGTCAGGGGCCCAGAAGAATGGACAAGAGGAGGGTGGACCTGCTGAACCCTACCCCACTTCTGCTCCCTGCAGACCCCGCCAACAGGCCAAGATGGCCGAGTACTGCCGGATGATGTTTGGGGATATGCTGCTCACAGAGCCCCTGGAAAAGTTCCCGGTGAGTGGACTTCGCTGTGGGGCATCTGGGCCTGGGGGCTGGGGGCCTGGGGCAGTGTGGGGGCCAGGTTAAGGAGGCAGATGTCCCCAGAGGATGTTGGGATTTATCTGGGAAGATTGTGGGGCCAGGATCCTATCATTTACCATGTGTCAGGCGCCGTGCTGGGCTTTGAGGGCTATGTTAGTGACAAAGACCCAGTCCCAGCCCTCAGGTTGCTTACGTTTAGTGGGGAGACAGACAAGTAACCAGGCCATTGCAAACAGTGGCTGCTATGGGAGTACTTGGGCATCAGGGAAGGCTTCCTGGAGGAAGAGAAGGCAAGCTGGAATCCAAAGGGAAACTGGATTTATCTTGGTGAGAGTTGGGGAAAGGGTATTTGAGGCGGGTGAGGGAGAAGAGTGTTGTCTGAGGAATTGGATAAGTTGGGTCGGCAGGAGCGCGGCACACGATGGGGGCAACGGTGGGAGGCAAGGCTGGAGAAGCAGGCAGGGCAGATGGAACACAGCTTGATGTGAAGGAGCTGAGGCTGCCCCTTGAAGGTGTGGAGATGGTGCTGACCATCTCCCCGCTCCCACAGTTGAAACCAGGCATCCCCCTGCCCAGCCCTGAGGATCTCCGAGGCAAGATCCTCATCAAGAACAAAAAGAACCAGTTTTCTGGCCCAGCAGCCCCCAGCACTGAGGGCAGCTGCTCCCCCACCGCCTCTGTGGGTGAGGACACAGGTGAGTCAGCCTGGGTGGGGGAGCATCTAGAGGGGGAGAGAGGGGCTGGGCCTGGAGGGGATGTGTAGGGACTCTGGTCCCAGTGCTGACGGAGGTGCGGTGCGTGTGGCAGTGTGGGCTGGTGAGGAAGGGGCCGAGCCGGAGGAGGAGGAGGTGGAAGAGGTGGAAGAGGAGGAGGAGGAGGAGTCGGGAAACCTGGACGAGGAGGAGATCAAGAAGATGCAGTCGGATGAGGTGTGTAGGGGGCAGCCCGGAGCCCCTTCTGCTGTCTCCATGTCAGAGCCCTGCAGGCGCGGGCGTGGGGCCACCTCCCTGGGTTGGGTACTGCCCTCCCCCTCTCCACCCTCCCCTCTCCTCCCTAGGGCACAGCGGGCCTGGAGGTGACAGCTTATGAGGAGATGTCCAGCCTAGTGAATTACATCCAGCCCACCAAGTTCATATCCTTTGAGTTCTCTGCCCGTAAGTAAGCATGCGGTGGGAGGAAGATGGTAAGTTGGAGACTAGGCTAGATTCAGGAGAAGACCCTTAAGAAGTATGTCCTGACAGCAGAGCTGCTTGATGGATGGGAGGAAGGGGACGGGGCATCCTCCCTTCCTTGGACACGGGGGCCCTATTTATAGAAAGAGCCAGGCAAAGGGCTTCTTTAAGTGGCAGTGGCTCCCAGTTTACCACTGCTGTACTGAGGAACTTGGCACCAACCCGAAAGCTCTGGAGTGTGTCGGTGACCGGCCGGCCACTTATGACAGGCCATCTTAGCTCTAGTGACCCCGGGCTCCTGCAGCCTCCTGCAGGTTCTGTGGCTCCCGGGGCTGACTGGTGCCTCAGAGAAACTGGCCAGGGCACGTCTGGCCCTCGCACCCTTCCCTCCCTGTGCACAGCCATGCTACTTAGCTTCTCCGCTCTTCTCAGCTGTGCGTGCCCCCAACGTGAATACCTCTTTCTGCATACACTCGTGCCGTATATGCGTCTCCCACACCGACTGCTCATCCCTGGACCCGCAGTCCACAGCCCCCCCCGTGCCCACCCGTGCCATGTCTACCCCCGGTGTACACCTCCCACCCCGCCCCCACCCCTCAGCCATACTTGTGTGCTCACTCTCTGCACATCATCGCGTGTTCCTGACCCCCTGGGCTCCCCTTCCCTGTGCCATCCAGGGCATGTGCCCCTCACTCTCCGGGACACACCCCATCCGCGTGCAGGTCTCCCGAGCACACCCTTTACCCCGCAGTGCGCCATTACCCACACAGATCTGCACATCAGCTTGGCCCCTTCGATCCTTGGGCCTCAGTGGGAATGCTAGGTTGGAGGGATCTCTGTGCTGGAGGGAGCTACCCCAGAGGGAGAGCAGGGAGGAGGGAAGGGGGGCCAGCCTGACATGGTCCCCTTGCCCTTTCTCTCTCACACAGAGAAGAACCGAAGTTATGTCATCTCGTCCTTCACAGAGCTCAAGGCCTATGACCTGCTTTCCAAGGCCTCAGTGCAGTTTGTGGAGTATCCTTGAGGCCTCCATAGCCAGGGTCCCTGGTTGGGGTGGCGGGATGGGGAAGGCCTGGGGACAGGGCGCGCAGAGGGAGCTGTTGGGTCCTCCTGGTGTGGACGGCCTTGGGCCAGCTCCTAAACTCTGGGACAGCTACAACAAGCGCCAGATGAGCCGCATTTACCCTAAGGGCACCCGCATGGACTCCTCCAACTACATGCCCCAGATGTTCTGGAATGCCGGTTGCCAGATGGTTGCCCTCAACTTCCAGACGATGGGTGAGGGTACTCCTAGGCCCCTAAGAATCTTCCCCCGCCGCCTGCCTCTCCTACCTTCACCCCATTCCTGGGGGGGTGGCTTTAGAAGCGACCAGGGGTCCTGATGTTGGTTGCACGTGCAGGCATGTGAGCGGTTAGGGATATAAATGCATCGGCTCGTGCCTAGATGATGGCACATGTACGAGGACGCACGTGAAGATGCCAGCGTGCTGGCACGAGCTCTGGCTGCTCTGCCTGGATGAGCCCGTAGGAACACCAGCTTCACCGGCCTCCACTCCCACTGTGAGGCACGGCCCAGCTGTGGCCTTGCTCCCGCCAACTCCAGCGTGTGGGGCCTTCCTGAGAGATGAGAAACCCTAAGGAAGCAGGCTGGGTCATGGGAGACCCTCATCCTCCCAGTCCACCCAAGCTCCCCATTCCACAAGACAGGAGAGGCTGGGGGATGTAGGAAGTAGAGACTGGGTGCAGACCTGGGGCTGGGCCTTCCTCACTGAGTGCCCTTGTCCCCCCAGACCTGCCCATGCAGCAGAACATGGCGCTGTTCGAGTTCAACGGGCAGAGTGGCTACCTCCTCAAGCATGAGTTCATGCGGCGGCCTGACAAGCAGTTCAACCCCTTCTCGGTGGACCGCATAGATGTGGTTGTAGCCACCACCCTTTCCATTACGGCAAGGCCCTGGGGTGGACGAGTGGCCAGGAGGGCTGGGGTCTTGAGGAGAGATACAGGAGCTCTCCCCCTCCACTCCCAACCCCCTCCCCTGATATCCTGAAAACTTTAGCCCAAGCCAGTTCGTGCAGTAGCAAGTTGCCTTGGAAACTGCCTCCTCCTCAGCACTGGAGGCTGCCTCTTGGTCTCCATGGAAACCAAGGGGAAGGGCTGAGGCTGGGGTGGAGGAGGGGAGAAGAGTAGGCAGAGTGGGGCTGCAGGAGCCCCAGGCCCTAGGGGAGTGTGCTGTTTTCCTTCCCGGCCTGGGGAGGGCCACACTTCTTCCCTGAATGCTGAAAGCACCTGGTTGCCGAGAGCTTAGTTGTAACCCTTGAGCCACACGGCCGCAGCTGGATGGGGCTCTTCACAGTAGCCAAGAACGGATGCTTCAGCTACAGGAGCTAGAGGCCCCAGATGTGAGGCAAGAGCTCGGGCAGGAGAGCTGAGGCTGGCCTCCCGTCGGTCCCTGCCCCCAGGTGATCTCTGGGCAGTTCCTGTCGGATCGCAGTGTGCGCACGTATGTGGAAGTGGAGCTGTTTGGCCTTCCTGGGGACCCCAAGAGGCGCTATCGCACCAAACTGTCACCCAGCGCCAACTCCATCAATCCTGTCTGGAAGGAGGAGCCTTTTGTCTTTGAGAAGGTGGGGAGCTAGGGCAGGGCAGGGGCTGGGGTCTGCCCCTACTTCTTGGCTTCTACTCATAGAAAAAAGGAACTAAATAAAGGGACTTCCTTGATCGTCCTCCTCTCCCTACCCGTCACCCTGTGCCCTCCTAATTTTAAGAGTCCCAAATCCACATTTACAGAAGTTTACTTGGTGAGAAAGTTTTATGTGGGCATCCGTGTGTGTGTGTGTGTGTGTGTGCGCGCGCACGTGCATGTGTGTTCATGTTAGGATGAGAGGCAGAAATGTGAACGGCCAGTCCAGGATACAGAGTCTCAGGGTATAGAGTCCCAGTCCGGGGGGGTCTTTTGCCCTGATTGGATTCTCATTGGCAAGGCTGTCCAGGACTTTCTACACTAGGACCCCCGAGCCCTGGGCTACGGAGCCAGCCCTTCTCCCCTGTGTGGACCAGCCCGGGCATGAGCTAAGAGGATGCCTATGTGTGTGGCCTAGAGTGTGTCCTCTGTCCTCACCAAATCTGGTAACACTTGCCATGTTCTCACACTGACGCTAAGACTTCTGAAGCCAGGGAGGTGGGTAGCTTGGCCACTCTCTCCCTTCCCCAGCTTGTCCTGTCCCATACTCTCCCTAGATCTTGATGCCTGAGCTGGCCTCCCTCAGGGTGGCTGTAATGGAGGAAGGCAACAGATTCCTTGGACACCGCATCATCCCCATTAATGCCCTGAATTCTGGTAAGGATGGAGTCCTTCTTTGCTGTTGCTAGCCCGGTCTGAGACCAAGGCCAGCGTTAGGAGCCTGTCCAGAGGGTGCAGCAGCTTCAGGGAGGTGGCCCTGCGACCTTACCTAACCCTCTCATGTATCAGCCCTGAGGACTGTGGCAAGAACAGGAAACCGACAGAGGTGGGGCCTCTGCCCACCTAACAGAATGTCTGTAATTTTCTCGAACTGCTGGGGCAATTTCCCAAGTAGCTGATACTTATTGGGCACTTAAAATGAGTTATGGGCTTATAACACATTCTCACTTAATCTTTTTTTTTTTTTTTAAGATTTTATTTATTTATTTGAGAGAGAGAAAATGAGAGACAGAGAGCATGAGAGGGAGGAGGGTCAGAGGGAGAAGCAGACTCCACGCCGAGCAGAGAGCCCGATGCGGGACTCGATCCCGGGACTCCAGGATCATGACCCGAGCCGAAGGCCGTCGCTTAACCAACTGAGCCACCCAGGCGCCCCCTCACTTAACCTTAACAATAACCACATGAGGGGCGCCTGGGTGGCTCAGTCGTTAAGCGTCTGCCTTCGGCTCAGGTCATGATCACGGGGTCCCGGGATCGAGCCCTGCATCGGGCTCCCTGCTCGGCGGGAAGCCTGCTTCTCCCTCTCCCGCTCCCCCTGCTTGTGTTCCCTCTCTCGCTTGTCTCTCTGTGTCGAATAAATAAATAAAATCTTAAAAAACACACACACACAAAACAATAACCACACGAAGTAGATCCTATTCACCCCCTTGCACAGCTAAGGAAAATCTCAAGAGACTTAAAGTAAACTGCCCAACGTCACACAATCAGGAAGGTGCAGAACCAGACTCAGACTCTGGCCTCTCTGACTCTAAAGCCAGAGGCCTTGAGTACTGGGCTGCTCCCGAGCTGTGCTGGGTGGCAATGGGCATGGCTTACCGCCCACCCCGTCATGCCCGACAGGCTACCACCATCTGTGCCTACACAGCGAGAGCAACATGCCCCTTACCATGCCCGCACTTTTTGTCTTCCTGGAGATGAAGGACTATGTACCTGACACCTGGGCAGGTAGGTGACCCATTCCCCCTCCCCCTCCTCAAGCCAGCCTCCAGAGTGGGGCAGGACAGGTAGCCTGGGGTAGGTGAGGATGGCGGAGGCTTCCAGGTTCATCTCCATACCAGGCCCATGATGCCCCTCTGCACCCAGATCTCACCGTGGCTCTTGCCAATCCCATCAAGTTCTTCAGTGCCCATGATAAGAAGTCTTTGAAGCTCAAGGAAGCCATGGGAGGTCTGCCTGAGGTCTGTGTTGCCTGGTCCAGGAGCTCTGCCCTCTCGGAGGGAAGATGAGGGAGGGGGGCAGGGTCCTAGACTGAGAGACAGAGAGAGCTGTTGGAGCCTTGTTCCTAATCTGCTCTCCCTACACAGAAACCCTTTCCACTTGGGAGTCCAGTTGTCGGCCCGGTCAATGGGGCGCTGGCCCCGACGAGCAACGGGTCTGCAGGTATGCACTGCAGGGTCCTCCCACAGTCTGCAAGGACCTCGACCTCTCCAGCGGTACCCACAGGAACATCCCCCCAAAACAGACTTTCACCTGGGATGGGAACGACTGTGTCGGACGCCTTAGCGCTGGGAAAGTGCGCTGCAGGGGCCCCATACAGCCACCCCCAGGGGGCAGGGAGGAGCCGGCCAGAACCAGGGGGCCCACCCCCCCGGGGCACCTGTCAGCCCACCCTGTGGCTCTTGCAGCTGCCGGGTACAGGGCCAAGGAGGAGACCACGAAAAAAGCCGCGGGTAAGGCCTGCTGAGTCCGAGTGATCTCGGGAACGAGCCTGGGGAGGGTCCGGGACTCCTGGAGGGGCGTGGGGAGGGGCTCCCGGGCGGCGGCGCACCTCACCCCGGCCCCCGCAGAGCCGCGGACCGCCAGCCCGGAGGAGCTGCGGGAGCTGAAGGGCGTCGTGAAGCTGCAGCGGCGGCACGAGAAGGAGCTGCGGGACCTGGAGCGGCGCGGCGCGCGGCGCTGGGAGGAGCTGCTGCAGAGGGGCGCGGC